TGGTTTCCAGAACCTTCTGCACCCAAGAGCAAAGTCACGCTCACTTTAACCCTTGTTTAGTTTACGATTCTCCAGCCGTACCTCATTTGTCTCCCCGCTGTTGCACTCTGTTACTTTTCGCATGAAGCCTGGCTTCTGAGAGACCTTCACAAATCTATGTCAGGTTTTCTTTAGGTTCTTTCTCATGGCTGCTGATGTTTTCAATTATTCTATCTACATCATATCCCCTTCCCTTATTTGTCACTGGCTGAGAAACAGATGTTCTTCAAGAGGTCCAATATTTAAACAGGAAAACTAACTTTTCCTCCACCCATGAAAAAAAAAATTCCAAGGAAAGCTTGGAAAGCACTTATGGCAGATAAGAAACAACTTTTAGAAAACCAAGTACAAAGACTGTGGGCCTAAGAATGCTGAATTTTATACACTTCATTTTTACAAGATGTAAAAAGAAAGAATCAGGGAAAAATAGCACGAAACAAATGGTTACAACTATGGAAATTGAGGAATGGCCAAAAAAGGGAAAATTCCACTGGAGTGGTGTCATGTATTTTTCCTCATTATTTTCTCCTGTTCCAATCTGTAGCATTTCTCTCGGGCTTTTCTTTACACTCCTAAGCTACTTTTCAGACCTCCCTAGTTCCCTGAAGTTTTCACCTTTCATGTAAAGAAATGGGAAAACCTTAGGAAGAAACAGTGTGGATGATCGTGTTCCTGGAATGTGTTTGTTAGTCAGGACTCAAGGGAACGTTAAAGTTGCAAACCTACTGTAGCAGAAGTGCTCAGTGTCCCTGGTCCTGGTAACAGGAGATTGTCAAAAGCAATGGCCACATGCCATTATCTATCATTCTTGTCCCCATGTTGTCATGCCTTCTAACTCAAGCATTAGGCCACAGAACTGCTTCTGAGATGGTTTCTGAGATGCTATTTTGTGGAGTGCCAACTTAACACTGAAAGTTTTGAGAGGCACGTACATGTGTGCGCTCACTGTGTGTGTGTGTGTGTGTGTGTGTGTGTGTGCGCGCGCTCGCGCGCGCTAGAACCTGGGGCCTCACACACACTAAATATGTGCTTTACCATGAAACTGCACCCTCCAGCTCTAGTGTTTGAGTTGACACTAGGAGCAACTTTTCTGCTTCCAAGCCTCAGTAAAAAAAAATCTCCATCCCAGAAAGTATGCACATAGAGGTGTCTCTGTCTCTGTCTCTGTCTCTTTCTTCCCCTTATTCCTCTTAGCATTTTTTCTTTATTTTCCTTACTGTTTTCTCTTTTGGCAGTTGAGCTTTAAACAGTGATGTGCTTTGCTCCCAAAGAGTGATGCCAATCCAAAGGGGGAGCACAGTGCCCACCCAACCTCAAGGCTCTCTCTCTGCAGGCCGCTTCTACCCACTCACTGCTTCATATGAAAAAACATTTAAATTTAAAATTTACCAAGTCAGAACTGAAACGACATGGGTTTCAGTTCTGCTTATCCATTTGCTCTTCTTTAAAATCTAGGGAGGCCTATTTGGGGATGTAAGCTCTAGAATAAGGCTCTAGAGTGCTGTGCTAGAAGTCGCAGTGCCACGACTTGCATATTCACCAGAGACCTTTAGAGATGTGAAGGCCTCAGAAAGGCAGGGAAAGAACCTAGCCCAGTCAGTTCAATTTACAAATGAAAATTTAAGGCCCAAAGTCACAGGGCTGCCTAGAAAGCCAAGAGTAGATCTATGTCGCTTGGTTACATTGGGTGCAGGTCTTACTGTATCCTCAAACTTGGATCTACAACTCTCTAGCAAAGTGAGGGAATCACACAAAAGCAATTAAAAAAAACCCTGATTCCAGTTGTGCTAGGGCACGCCTGCAATCTCAGCACTCTAGGAGGCTGAAGCAAAAGGATTTCCAAGTTTGAACCCAGCCTGGGAAACTGGGAGTCTTAAAGAGACTCTGTCTCAAAATGAAAAAAATAATTCAGGGGGATTGACTGGGAATGCAGCTCAGTGTGAAGACCCTAGGTCTAATCCCTACTACTTCAGGAAAGTAAAAGCCTGGAGCCAATGGCAAATGCCTGAACCCCTACTTATTTCTGAAGAAAGCAGATTTAGACACAGGCAGAGTTCTTGTCTGTCTTTTCACAGAGAAATTTGTGACTCCCACCCAATTCTACGCAACCACAATGAAGGTGATTTCTGTGCAATGTCTGGCAACCTCAAGAAATGAAGTATCGATGAGTCTTTGGAGCAGAGTCATCTGAGACTCTCCACTGTGGAGATGAGATTCCAGGGTCAGCACACACTGATACCGTCCCTGTAACCAGTCGTGCAGAAAGCATCAGTGCTGCTGCTGGGGAAAGATGCCCTCCAGAGTCAGGAAGTTCAAAGTGAGCTCATGCCCACCACATGTAAGAGCCAAGTAACACTCAGAGGAGAGTCAGAAGACACTCATGTGGTGAGAGTTAATGGGGGCCTTTGTGACAATGTCTACAACATCTCATTGACAAGGTAATTGTAAAGAATATGATGGGAGACATCAAGGGGAAAACCATGAACAATTGGCGAGCAAGACTCGAGTGCAAGCAGAAGAGGTGGGCAGAGAGGCTGTCTTTTTCTCGAAACTCTTCCAGCAGCCACTGTGGTCCAGGCCTGGGTCCTCCATCACCTAGTCGTGTGGCCCTGAGGCTCTTTCTCTGGAGAGAATGGACCTTTGAAAAGTTTGTACTTGTCAGAAATGCAGGGGAGGGACCCTGCAAGGCTGAGGAAAAAAAGAACCTTCAGAAAACAAAACCAAAGAGATGGAAACTTGCTAATCCACAAATATGTGGTCAAATCCTTACTACACGGAGATCACATTATATTAAAATATAAAACAAACTACAACACCCAAAAATTTGACAGACCAAGGAAAATTGAAAGTACAGATTCAGCAATAAATTCAGAATAAGTTGCTAAAATAAGTTGTCAGCCTTATGAAAGAGAAAGCGTAACCCAGTCCCCAGCCACTAAAAGAAGCCATTTGAAGACATTGCTTGGACTGATGTGGCATAAGCACCTGCCTGGCAACTGCACAGTCATGAGTTTGATCCCTTTTACCAAAAAAAAGAAAGAAAGAAAGAAAGAAAGAAAGAAAGAAAGAAAGAAAGAAAGAAAGAAAGAAAGAAAGAAAGAAATATTGATTCAGGTTTTAAGACAGTGCTGAGCAAATACCCAAATGGCTGAGTGAAAACCAGAGATTGTCACCTGGGGAGTCTCAGATTCTTCCAGGCTTCCAAAATTATAGCAGGGAATGAAAGATTTTGTAACAAAAACATACTTTTCTGGTCACATGAATTTCCTTAGCTGTACGATCCCTCCCCTTCCAATAATTTCCTAAGAAATAGCTATAGCATCTTGTGAGAAGTCACCAAAAAAACTAGGGCACTAAAAAGAGGTTCCTTTTAACAATAGGAACCCTTTTTCGAGATAGGAGCCTTAGATAGGAACCCCATGAACAATATAAATGGAAAATTCATACGAAGAGAGATGAAGGGATTTCTATAGAGGAGAATGAGCATAAAATGGCCAGTCTTTGAAAAGGATTTTAGTACTTCATGGTCTCTCCTAGGGCCACAAGTGTTCAACTGGTTTAGTTAGGTGAGCCAGTGAATTACACTAAGGTTTGAAAAAAAGTAAGACTCATCAAAATCTGTATACAGAGATTTTTCTAGCTCAAATGAGAAGAAAATCTGTTAGTTTTCTACTGTGCTGAATGATTTATTCTATAACAGATATGCTATATGTAGAATTCAAAAACAGATATATCTTTACAACTTTTGGGACTTAATTTTTCGGTTCTGAAAATTGTCATATTCATCCCAGATCTCAGAAATACAGTTTAATTGAATTAACCCTCACATTTTATGTAGTTCTTTGAAGTGTTAGTTTAAAAAGACCATAGAAATGCAAATGATTAGCCCAAAGAAAAATTAGAGCTGCCTGTGGCAGCTGGAGGCAGATTGGCTCAACAAATCACCCAAGTCCTAGAAAAAATAAAGACTTTAGAGATGCACAATCCTCTGAACTTCTCCCCACCTTAAAACCAGTAGTAAATATCATGGTTCAAATCTAATATAAATTTTTAAAAAATGTAAGATGAGTAGATTGAAGAGTCATTCAGTGAACACTAGCATCAACATTTCTGCTGGTTGGAGACCCAAAGATAAGTAAAATATAGCTTGTGTTCCTCAGATCTCAAGCCTAACTTATATTTAAACATCTTTAAGGAAGTGTAGCACAGGAAAAGGAAAAAAAAAGCTTTCAAAATCAGGGAAAAAGAAATTCCAAAGCACTTTATGTTTTCTCATTCTAGATGAATTTTTTTCAATCATTTTATGCCGTCTTTTTTAAAAAATCACACGCAAGTATTACTACAAAGAGAGCTCCAACAACACAAGTTTGTGTATGTAACCTCATATCCCTTTCAAGAACGAGAACAAATGAATTTAAGTCAGTGATATGTAAGCTGAAGCCCCCAAATTTATTATCAGTTGGCCTGGAAATGATTTCTTACTGAGGAATTTGGGTTTTTATTTGCATGTGTTTCTGCCCAGCTTGTGCTGTCGCTGCAGCCCAAGGCAGGAAGTGGAAGCAGCCGCATGGCCCAGGTTCCCTTCATGCTCCAGAAAGGGCGGAGGGGGGCTCCTGCTCCTGCTTGTGCTCCTTGGCTGAAGGAGCCGTCATCAGGAGGCAAAGGGCTGTGATTTCAGAGGCCACATACAAGGCCACTTTTTGTTTATTTCATATTCAAAGAACAGGCCCTAACACGGACACATTTCTTGTCTGTGATGTTCACCCTTTTCTTAGCTGGTCTGCAGGATGCATAGGCAAGCACTTCTACGATGTTTGGGGGGGGGGGGGGCAAAGCAGCAAAGAGTGCAAAAGCTTTCACTTCCTTTTTAACCTTTATTGGGTAGAAGAGAGCAATTTGAAAATGCTGTCGCTGGAGAGTTAGAGTAACTTCCTGGCTGCTTTTGTCGAGAGAGCCCCTGCTGTCCATGTCTTCAAATAGAATCGAGAAGCACGCTTTATTACACCTTTCACAGAAACATTTAAATCATGTGGGGTTTGGATGCAACATTCTTTCTTCAACACTCCAGGGACTCTCCTAGCCAAAAGGATGACACAGCCTTGGTTGAAATCTGTCTCTCCAGGAGGATGCGGAGGGTTTGAAGGATTCTACCCATGGGTGAGCTGCTGAATTGGCCCCAGCGATTCAGAAACAGAGGACTACACTTGCATCAAGGGTTTATTCTTGTTAGCAATCATAGCACAACTGGCACAAATAATATGTATTAGCTGGATTGTTATTTCAAGAAAAGTGCCACAAATGTTCAGAAGGAAAAAAGGAGGCCCCCAGAAAGCAGGAGTCATCAAGTGGGAGAGGCTGATAACACAAAATACTTGTCTTCTGAGCTTCTCGTGTAATTTGCAAAATAAGAAAGCAATTTGACCCCCACCCCATCCACCGAACTGGGTCAGGTTTGTGACCTCTCATTTGATAAAGGCAATTGCCTCTTAGTTTTATTTTATTATTATTATTTTCTGCTGGGGATTGAATCCAAGGCCTTTCCACTGAACGACAGACACTCTCAGGCCTTTTTCTTTTTTATTTTGAGACAGAGACTTGCTAAGTGACTCTGTTGCCCAGGCTGGGCTTGAACTTTCCATCTTCCTGCCTCAGCCTCCCTGTGTGCTGAGACTGCTAGTGTGTGCCATGATACCCAGCTTGCAGACCCCTAGTTTTTATAAAGATAAATCTTGGGTACAATGCTAAACCTCAGATAATAAGAAGGGATTTGACCCTGCTTGTCAACTGGTGACTAAAAAGAAAGTGAGATGAATGAATGGAATGGAAAGCAGTGGAGCTGGTGAGCGTTGAGTGAGTGGAAGAGCGGGAGGAAGTGCGTAGGTGAAACCGGAAACTTGGTTCAGAGGTGACTACTGTGTGTGGCGGGCTACATGCAGCTTTGCCTTGTAAGAACAGTTGGGCAGTTTATTTTCTCCTCCAATAGACACAAATATGGTAGAGTAGGTTAGAGAGCCGGACTTTCCTCTTCAAAGGCTTTGCTTTGACTCTTGGTAAACTGGACCACATTTATCAAATCACCAATCTCACTCTTGTTCTTTTCTAGAATTAGACAACCCTTTCAATGTTTTTGACTAAGTTTTCTGGAAGAGGACAGATTTGTTGATTGTCAACACAGCTTTGAAGAATGCTTATTACAAGATTTATAGATTCATAGTTGCTGGGAAAGGACTACAAGTCTTTTAAGGTCAGAGCCCCTGTGGGATTCACTGGCATGCCATTTCTTTTTCCTTCGTTCCTTTCTTTCATTCTTTATTTCTTTTCTTTTTCTTTTTCTTTTTTCTTTTTTTTTGAGATAAGGATTCATTGTTGATACCAGGCTCACCTCGAGCTCACCATGATCCTCCTGCCTCAGCCTCCTGAATGCTGGGATTACTGGCATGGAGCACAACATGCAGCTTATTGGTGTGTCTTTCCAAGTGTTTTAACTGCAGTAGGTGCTTGCTAAAGGTGTACAGAATGAGTGAGGTCTGTTCGTCCCAACATCTCCAAATAAACACCGATAAATAAATAAGAATGGATAGAAACTCATGTCAAGTTCCTATGGTCTGTGCCTCTATTTCCACAGTGTCGCATATTTGGAGGTTTGGAGACTGCTGGACTGTGCTGTTTTCTATTGCTTTTAATGGTGATAATGGAAATACTGTAAGAGGGATTCTGAGGTAAGGCACCCAAAGCTTCTTTTCTTTCCCTGACTGTCAGCCAATTGTATGCAAATTTCGAGCAAAGTTTAGTAGGCTCTGGTGTCTACCACAGCTCTGCATGTATGACAGTGAGGTGCAGAATGTTGGTGTACATTAATGTCATTGACTGTCTTGCTTTCTTCCATTTTTCCTGCCCTTTCCATAAAGCATTAAATAAATTGGGCATGGTGGCACACACCTGTAACCCCAGCACTTAAGAGGCTGAGACTGGAGTATCCCTGAGAGTTCAAGGCTAGTCTGGACTACATAGTGAGTTCAAGACCAGCCTGAACTACATGGTGAGATCTTGTCTCAAAAATCAGTATTAGATAAAGCATTAGAGTACTTAGCTCTTGGCTTCTCTCTGACAGAAAGTCCAGAAGCCCAAAATGGTAGGGTTTTTTTTTTTTTTTTTTTTTAGGAATTCAGGGAGCCTGAGTTACTGGAGCTATTGTGCAGCCCCTGCTCCCAGGAATTTTCCTTTCTCAGTCTCCCCAGATGCCACCCACAGTCACACCAGTCACTCTAAAGAGGCTTTCTCAGCAGTCAGGCGCTCGGCCCATCCCCAGGCCAGAAGCCATTCTGGGGACTAAGATGACAACGCACTGAGCAGACAAAAGCCTGCTCTGTGCCCAGCTCTGTCTGGCTCATTGTTGGGATCTAGAGGCAAGTTAGGGCCACACATTCTCTGCATATCAGGATGTCTGTAATCCTGGGGATGGTTTCTTTCCATCACTGAAGATGCACAAGCAAATTAAGAGTGGATTTTTTTACAGCAGAGTTCTTATTTGGGGGGTGTTGTTTTTGTTGCTTCCTCTTCCCTGTCTTAGAACAGCTAGCACACGCTTTGCACTCGAAACTAGGAGGCAGAGAAGAATTATTTCAGTACAGAAACTCCAGGCCTCTGAGTTGATGTTTGTAGTTCTCCGTTTACTTTATCAAGATCTTTGGCAAGTGTTCTTACACGTTGACTTTCTCTATTGGTTTCATATTAACAGACCTTATCTGAGCTCTGAGCGTGGGGAAGAAGGGTGGGGCACCCGGGCAAGCAAAATGTTTGTCATGTGAAAATAGTTTTGTGGGTAATGCTAAAGGAAAAAAAGATCATTTGGTTGAGCACATTGTTTGCCTCTAAGAAGATAATCCAGTCAATGAATCCACTACCAATTATCAAGCAAGTGCTTCAGTCCAAATCTAAATTTAACTGGTATTTATTGAATGCAGGCACTTTCACATATAGTATCTCACCCTGAGTTAACAATTTTAGTGAACTAGCTTGTTCTTAATCTTTGTCCAAGTGTTATAAAACCTGAGTTCCTTGTGGCAGGAAGATTGCAAGTTTGAGCCCAACCTAGGTAGCTTACTGACTTAGACCTTGTCTTTAAAAAGCTCGGGGGCTTAGGTAGCTCAATAAGAAGGCCCAGTGTTCAATCCCCAATACAGCACCCAAAAAAAAGGAAAAAAATGAAAGGAGAGAAAAAAATTTTTTTTTCCTTCTTATTTCCAATTTTGATCTTGCTTTCTTGGTAATCCAGTGATGTTTAGTATTACGGTTCTGTTGTATGACAACATCTATATGCAAATGAAAATAACATTTTGTTCAACTGACCACTTGCTCTTTGCCATTCACTATGTTCTGCCCTCATAAGTTTGATATTCCTGGATGCTGGTGCCAGGCCAAAATGATAGGCACTAGAATGCTACAGTGACAACAGAATGACTTCCTAGCTTTGGTTAAAAGCACTGAGACATGGGAATTAAATCATCTGTGCCACTGAAAGCTGGAAAGTGGGCAAGCTAAGACTCAAAGTTGGTTCCCTCTGCCTCTTCCCTTCTACTAAGCATGGTGGCCAGAATTCTAAAGTGAAGCCTACAACTCCAACAGCCTGACGCTCTGTCATGATTAGATTATATGACAAAGAGGTCGCTGTCACTCCTTCAGTTATGTAACATTCTATGTAGCTAGCCAAGTTGAAGGGATTTTGCTAAGGTAATTAAAGCCCCAAGTCAGTTTTCAGTAATCAAATTGGTGATCATCTTCTGTGGGCCTAACTCGCCCTCTTGGAGGTCATTTCAAAAGAGCTCAAATCTTGCCTGCGGCACAGAGCCTCTCTACTGCTCATCTTTAAAATGAAGCCATAAGATAGATCTTCTGTAAAAGAGAAAGTGACACGATACGAAGGGAAGGCAGGGGGAGTGGAGGGGAAGAGGATAAGAAAGAATCAAGATGTGTTTTGTATCTATGATGAATGCACTGCAAACATGCTAACAAAAAATAAAATTTTAAAGCAACTATGAGTTCTGTAGCTTCAAGAATTCTGTTCACAACACTTCAACACTTGAGCTTCAAAGAGGACTCTGAGCTTACAGATAAAAATGAAGCCCCAGCTGACATCTTGGTTGCAGCCTTGCAGGAACCAAAGTAAGGATCCACTAAACCATGTCCACGCTCTTACTGCTTAAAAACTGTGAGATAATAAATACATTGTTTCTAATCCCTACGTGTCATTTCTTATGCAGCAATAAAACTGGCCAAGAAGGGTTTAGATCTGTTTTTACCTTGTCTTCAGGTTTTTCTTTGCCTTGCTTATGTGAAATGCTGTGTTAGAAATTATGTCACAGGAAAAAAGAGATTTAAGGTCCATGCTAGTCTGTAACGGTGATGTTTATGTGTCTACACATTTCATGGTACGTCTCAGTTCTCCTGAATACAGCTTTGCCTCGACCAGGAAGCAGTGCAGTTTTCCTAAAATAGGCCATAGAGTAAATATTTTCTAGCTGGTTGTGGTAGTACACACCTATAACCCTAATACTCTGGGAGGCTGAAGGAGGAAGATCCCAAATTTGAGCCCAGCCCGGGCAATTTAGTAACTTAGTGAGATCTTGTCAAAAAAAAAAAAAAAAAAAAAAAAAAGCTGGAAACATAGTTCTGGGCAAAAGCCCTGGGTTTAATTCCAAGTACAGGGGAAAAGTTTATATATATAGTGCTTTTCAGTCCACGTGGTCTCTGCCACAGGTAATCAATTCTGCCATTCTAACAGAAACATAACCACAGAAAAGCTGTAAGTGAAAGGGTGCGGTCATGCGATAATAAAACTTTACTTAGGGATATCAAAGTGAAAACTACATGAAACATTAACATGCCCAGAAATGATATTTTGATTTTGAGTTCTCCCAGTCTTTTAAAATTGTAAATAGCATCCCTAGGTTTCAAGGTACAGAAAAACAGGTAGTTAACCATACTTGGCCCTTAGGCCAGAGTTAGCTTACTTCCTGTTCATAGAGAGATGTTATCAGCATCAGTGAATCAATCATTATACAATATTTTTCTGCTTTTGGAAAGAAAAGAATTTATGGATAAAAATATAGTGATAGGTAGAGATAGATATGTATTAAATTAGCAAAAGATATCCTTATAGTGGTCAGATTCACAAACCAGGCCACATCTTCAGAGAAGAGATTGATTTAAATTTTGCGTATGAAACTGGGTGTGTATGTGCATTTTATTCTGCACAATAAACTAGGATGCACCTTGAGGTTCTTGCAACTCAATACCTTGATATCATGTGCAAATCACCACAGTCCTTAGTAGTATTTCACAGACATATGCCAGAATTATGAAAAATGGCTGTCCTTGGATGTGATTGGTGGCAATCTTCAAATTAATGGAACTAAAAGTAACCCAGGAATATTCAGATCTCAGTCAATTTAAGATAATCACTGTGGTTTTTCTATGTGCTCATCTATTGCTCTAAACACAAAACACACAGTATTAATCTCTGGTACAGTGGCCTGAAGAATCATACTGAAAGTATATTATAAAACAGTCAAGTGCAACTTTAAAAGATGTATCATTGTCTTTTGAACATTTGTTGAAGAGGCATCCTCTCAGTCAATGGGAAAGATGACAAGTGACAATCTCATTTCTCAGAGTCCCAATTGTTGGCCACTAAATTACTGTATGTGCAAACGTGAAAAGGAAGGCGGGGGAGGGAGGAAGACGCATATCACTATTCTCGAACTGAAGAGAAAAATACTCTTACCTGTTTTGTGTTATCTTAAAAGACTGTTGAAGCTTTGCTTGGTGCTTAGCTGTACCCTGTTTCATACCACTGAATCCATTAGGGTGTAACATGCTGATGGATAGTGAAGAATTAGGGGTGTCCACTTGGGCGGTCTGGTAAGAGTTCAGTTTAGAGTAAATATAAGCTCTTTGGAGACAGCTACCATAAGCAACGTTCTTTTTAAAGTTCATTGTTTGTTTTAATCCAATGAGGTGGGAGACAACAAGTGAAGAGAAAGAACTATAAAGAGAAAGTACAAATATTAAGCCTAGCAAATGGAAAAATACAGGCAGGGAATGGAGTAAAGACCAGGATAGACTTTCAGACAGGCCTGGCAAAATTCTCATTAAACAGAAGAATTATGGCCCACCTGACTACAATAATTTAGTCTAACCCAGACTTAACAAGAAAGCTACTTGTATAGCTTCTTACTGTGTTTTCAATTATAGGTTTTTTGGTGTGCGTAATTTTTCAACACATTAAAGTGATGTACAATTATGACACACCATATATGATTCTTTGTGTGTATTGTCATGCACACACACCCAAGCAACGTGTATGTGGATATATGTATACCATTTGGAAGTATAAAGTATAAAGAAGAATATACAATTAGTAACCGAATCCACCACTTAAAACAACGAATGTCTTCTGCTTTTAAGAAGTGGTGTTAGGGAGTATTATTTTCATCATTAAAATAAAACCTCCAAACATTTTAAACTGGAAGACTCAAATAAGGTTCATAAACCAATATCCAAATAGCAAGCCTTAGAAATTCTAATTTAGAAGGATCAGGACATGATCTAGACCACCCAGCTTCTCACATACCCATCCAGGAAAAAAAATCAACAACTGTAATTCATCGTCCAGTTCACAAAGCATAAGAGTTTTCAGCAACAGCCCTAAACAGAAAGCAAAATTTGTCATTGGTCTTGGAAGAACTACAATTTACAAAATAACAGATTCCTTGCAAGATGAGACCTTGGTGCCGAAATGAATTAGTGTGCTTTAGATTTTGTAGGTCTATAATTACAGAGAGGAATTTTAGAATTTCCCCCCAGAGGCTTTGACATTGCTACCTTAGTTTATAGCAGCTCTTTACTATTAATAGTCAAATGAAAGTTTTAATTATAATCAAGTAGATCTGCATACAGAAAGCTAGGATTGCTGGCTCACCTTCAAAAGAACTTGTGCTTTCAGTTATTTTCTGGGACATGGTGAATATTTACTCATGCTGATTCAAATGGTGTACATTTACACAATGTCTTTCTAGACAAAGCCAGGGCTGAGATTATGACTATGGAATTAAACCAAATGAACAAGCCCCCTGTGGACCCTGCAGCTCAGTTTGAGCTGCATTGTGCTCTAAACAGCATGTACCCTATTCCAGCTGGAAGGCCGGTCTTTCTTATGTTCGCAGTGGTTTTGTGCACAAAAGGGCAAGGAACCAAGAGATGGAGCAGGGAGGGAGAAGGGGACATAAAAAGAATTCAGTTGTGTTATGTACATGGACCAACTCCCTACGATGAATGTAATCATTATGTACTGCAAATATGTACTACTAAAAAATGAATAGCAAGATATGAGGAGTATTGAATTATGAAACCAGATCTATGTTGAATACTTGGCATCCAATTAAAAGATACTTTTTTATTATTCAGTTTCCTAAATTTTGGAATATTCCCTAAATTTATGGTTACATTAAAGCTGCAAAAAGAGGCCAGAATTATCATTTATCCCTCACCCAATTCCCCCCCATTGTTTACAACTTCCACCACGTGCTAGTTTGTCACAACTAAGAGACCAACAGTGGTACAGTATTATTAACAAAATTCAGGGCTTCATTCCAATTTCATCAGTGTTTCCATTAAATGTCCTCTTTCTGTTTCAGAATTTCTAAGATACTTCATTGCATTCAGTCATCCTATTTTCTTCTCTGGCCTGTGACATTTTTATTTCTTTTTTAAATGTAGAAAAGAAGGAGGAAAAAAATCCCAGAATTTCAAAACAAAATAATAGAAGGGCAGTTTTTTGTTGCTTTTGTCTGTTTTTTCATGACATTGAAAATTTTCAAGGTTAGTCAGGTATTTAATAGAATGCCCCTCAATTTGAATTTCGCTGATGTTTCTCTCACTAGACCACTGCTGTGGGTTTTCAGAAGGGGTAAAGTGACTTTCTTGTCAGAACATATCAGAGGGTACATGATATGAACATGCTGTCACTGGTGATGTCACCTTTTGTCGCTTGGTGAAGGGGATGTCTGCCAAATTTCTCCACTATAATCTTATTGTCGGTCTCTGTCACTTTCCTCATCACTGGGACAGAATATCCGACACCCACAACTTAAAGGAGGACAGGTTTATTTTGGCTCGTATCTCAGTCCGTAGTCTGTGTGTTGCAAGGCAGGACAGCATGGAAGCCGAGCCTGGCAGAGCAGAGCTGCTCACAGAATGGCGACATGGAAGCAGAGAGAGGTAAAGAGAGGAGTGGAATCTCATGCACAGTGACCTGTATCTTCTGACCAGGCCTCACCTCCTAACAGCAAAGCAGCGGTAAGCCCCTGTAATCCAATTAACTTCCAGAGCTCCCATGTATGATCAAATGTGGCTTTAGAGGAGCATCTGGATATAAACCATAACACTGTTTTGCTCTTCCATTTCCATAGTGGATTTTTGGAAGTGAGTTACTAAATCCAGTCTACCCTAGAGTGTATGTGAAGGGACAGAATCTCTCCTGCCTAGAGTATCTCTCTGCTGAGATAGGAGACTTTGCAGGACGAGAGAAAAAAATTCTTGTCTACTTGGGCATTTGGATTTTTTTTTTTAAAAAAGAATGCTTTTGTATTTATGGCAATCAGTTTTTTCCCCTAAGAAATGTAATTTATGGGGCTGGGGATTTAGCTCAGCGGCATAAGCGCCTGCCTTGCAAGCAGGCAGTCGTGAGTTCGATCCCTGGTACCGATAAAAACGGAGAGACCAAAAAAAAAAAAAAAAAAAAAAGAAATGTAATTTATTTTTTTAAGCAATGTCATTTATTATAAATGTGATTTTGTTTAAATTAAATAAGAATTGGGTTGGCATTTAGTTGCCTGTTTACATTCCTGCAGTCATTTCAAAGGTTGCTATGTCACTAGAGGTATAAAGTCCTCAAGAAGAGTTGAAAACTGATGCTCACCATCGACTATTCTATAGCATTTCCACCATGGCATAGATATAACTAACCCCAACAACACAAAGAGTAGAAAAATGTGGTAAAATAATTAGGCAATGATACATTTTGAGTGTTTATTGTCTTTTAAGTGCAATTTATTTCATTGCAAGTTTGTATGATTTTTAACAGTGACTGAGCTTAATGACTGACTCTGAGATTTCTGACAAATATCACAAGCGATTGTATTCATTGACACCGCTATTAGAACACATCTGGAATGATTCACATAAAACTGCTAATAGTAGCTACCTCTGGAAAATAAATTGGCAGTCAGTAGAACTTTTCTTTCAGTATATTTTATATTGTTTGATATATTTTAAATAAAAATATGCATTAGACGTATGACAGTCATCTTAAAATTTAAGAATACTGGGCTGGGGATTTACCTCAGTGGCATAAGTGCCTGCCAAGTACGTGGTCATGAGTTCAATCCCCAGTACCGATAAAAAAAAATTAAGAATACTACACTGTATTAGAAAGGTGATGTATAATACTAATAGTGTAAGGAGAAAGGAGTTTGAAAATATATGTCTAAACCAGATGTGATGGTGCATGTCTGCCTGTCATCCCAGCACTCTGGAGGCTGAAGCAGGAGAATCACTGAAAGTTCAAGGCTAACCTGGCTACATAGTGAGTTCAAGGTTAACCTGAACTATACAGAGAGACTCTGTCCCAAAAAATGTCCATTTTTGCATTTATTGGAGGTTTAAGAAGAAATTAACATAAAATATTACCTGAAGAGAGAAAAGGAAATCAGAGAATATATTACTTTTATTTGTTTTATATTTGAACTCTAGCAAAAAGACCCATTTTGCACCATATACCAGTCACTGAAATGAGTTTTACACAAGAGAAACATTTTGTTCGTGAGACACTAATCATAAAGAGGGAGCACTTTCAACTTACCTCTCTGAAGATAGTATTTAGGGGCTTATGTGATACAGAAACAGCATGATATGAGGCAGAGGGAAAGGTGTCACAGTTTATGCAGTTCACAAGTTTAGAAAATGGTGAGTCGGTGTCATTTGAAGGTGCATATTTTGTTTGTTTGCTATCAAAAGGTCACCATTGGACACTTAGGCAGGGCCATGCAAAATGAAAAGTGTGGCTGAATTCAATTGGTTTGAGAGAGATGAAAGCATCCTCTAACTTCCTGAGAACCAATTGAAACAACTATTACCATAATGACCATATATCAGAGGTGTTACTGATAGCAAAGCCCATGGGGGTGCACTGCTCAGCCGTCTTTCCTCTGACATTGATGATAAGAACAAGCAAGGTTTTCCTTTGGTTTTAGAACCATCACATGATTCAAATATTTTTTTCATAATTAAAAGCATTTTTAAGAGATCAGGACTTCCAGTGGGAGAGCATTAGCAGAAGTCCCTGGGTTCAAATTCCAGCCACACACACACACACACACACACACACACACATACACCCCAAAATACAGTTTTTATCAATTATCACTATTTAACAGTCCCTTTTTGGGAAGACAAGTCCGATTGAAAACATAAGACCATTTTTTCTGGTTTGCATAACAAATTCATGGTCAGGATATCTCTAAAAGGACTTGAGGTGTGAGTCATTGTTCAAATATGTGGCAGTGTTAGCACTGGCCCCAAGACGCAGATAATATAAGGCACAATTGTTATAAGCAAATAGCAATGCTGAGATGAAGACATTTTTTCCAGGTAGAAAATGGAAAAGGGCCAGACATCCTTGAGGCTCTCCACCTTGTTATTCTTCCCATATGCTGGGGTTAGGAGGGTGTGTTTGGCTAGAACAGGTGATGTTTGCTCAATGCTTGCTGAAACGCAGCCTTTTGACAGAAGTCAAACAATTCTGAAGCCACTTCTTGATTCTGAGAGACAAGGCAGAAGCCTTCTTCTTGTGGTGTAGTTGCAGAAATGACCTTGTTGAAGGCCCCATCTATTATTGCAGAGATGTTTAGCTCACCTTCATAATGCAAACGTCCTTTGTCTAAGACAGCAGGAACCTGAGAAGGACCTACCCCACACGTCCCACCCACCATTTCAGGGTTTGGCCGTAGCCTCCCAGAACTAACATCAAGCAATTTCTCTGCCATGCTATGGAAGCTGCATAATGTGTGTGATTGATTAAAAGTAATGTCAAAGTTCTAGTTTGAACTGAACATGAATGTGATTTACACATGAATACACATCTAGATTCTTTTTCAAAAACCATAGCCATAACATGTCAGAAGCTGGTTGCAAAAAAGCTCTAATCTTAAAGATTGAAATGGGGCTCGGGATGTCGCTCAGTGATAGAATGCTTCCCTGGCACGCAGGAGGCTCTGGTTCAGTAAGAAAAGAAAGGACAACAAAAGATTGAAATGACAATGAGAACCTGTGTCAGCAACATCTTGAAAGAACCTGTGAAAGTCTCCTTTGTAACATGGTACCTCTATAAGCTCAAAAAGGGTCAAGCAGTACAAACCCACTGGTCTACACACATGAGCTAATTAATTTTTTATTATCATTAGCAAAGAATTTTTGTGGGGTTTCCTTTGTGTGCTGAGGATCAAACTCAAGGCCTCACACATGCTAAGCACATGTTCTAACACTGAGCTACACCCCCAGCTCCAGCATATAAATTTTCAAACTGAATTTTCACTCATTTACAAAAATAAGATGGAGCATGAATATGCTAAATTAGATATGCGGTAATGACTGGCACTTGTTGCTGACATCATAGAAACAATTGAATTCAGCAAGAATCATCAAGAAATGCCAGAATATTTGGTGAAAGTTTGAAGAGGCACAGATTTGAGTCTTACTAATAGGTTGACCTCCAGTGGCTCCTGATGTGCAGCACTGAGAAGGATATAGCTTCACGTACCATGTATTCCACCTATAATTATTGGACTCTAACCACAGAAAAACACTGGGCAAAGCCAAATTGAAAGAAATCCTACAATCTCAGTGGTCCATATTCTTCAAAGATGTGAATGTCTCTGAAGACAAAGACAGCTAAGGGATTGTTCCAGATTAAAAGGACATGAGAACCAAGTACAAGGCAGGCTCCTAGACTGGATCCCAGATGAGGAGGTAGAAAAGTGCTGTAAAAGACAATGGAACAGAACAATTGGTAAAATGCAAATGTGGATTTCATGTTATAAAATCATTTCATTGTGGGGAGGTTAACACTATTGCGTTTGATCATTGCGCTGCAGTAATGTAAGAGAATGCTCTTATTCTTAAGAAAAATGAAGTACTTTGAAAATAGAAGGTAAGTAGTAAAATGTTAACAGTGAATGAGGTGAAGGATATAGGGGATTCTTTTGACTATTCTTGAAACTTTTAAGTTTGACATTGAAGGGTTTTTATTTTCTTGCATATATATACATATATATATTATATATTATATATATCTCCATCTCCATGTTTACTGGACATAATGATTGCGTTCATCATGGGGAGTTGGCCAATATACATAACACATATCTGTGCTTTTATCACCCACTTCCCCTCCCTCTCTCCAGCTCTATCTTAAGGCTCCTGCACTGTAGAAACAAGAGAGAGGAAATTGGAAAAAAATATCTGGATATTAAAGAACTGGCTGGGTGTGGTGAAGTACACATGTAATCCCATCAGTCAGGAGGATCACCGTTGGAGATCTTGTCATACATAAATAATAAATCAAAGAATTTGCCTGTCTGTAGGATGAGGTCCAACACCAAAGATGGTCTGCAAGAGACCAAGTCTATGAGCAACAGCACTTAGGGATGAGAGAGCAAAGTCAGTTGGAGCCACCGGTGGAATGAGAATATTTAGAGAAATTCGAGAGTAAAGTGTGTTAAGAGAGAAAGATTCAGTAGACTGTGGCAGCATTGTCAGAAGCACCCAGGAGGCCAAGGAAGGGGAGAAATCACAGTACAATTGACTTGAGAAAAAGAGGCTGTTGCAATAATGAGAGACCTTCTAACTAAGCATCTAGAATGTTTTCAGTTCTTTCAACCCTCATAGCAAAATCACCCGCTCCTCCCCCCTTTGCTGACCATAAACGTGAAGCTCCTAGGGCTTTGTGAAGCCTATACAAAATGCACAGTGCACAGGGGGCTGAGCGGGAATAAGTGATAAGTTCAGGGGTGATAGTGTGGAACAATATATTACTTTATCTGTTAGCCGTTGAGAGCCTGGGTGAAGGAATGGAAACCAGCTCGGGAGGAGATTCAGGATGACTTCAGCAGCCTGTGAGCAGAGAGGCTTGTGAGTCAGTGGGAAGTGATTGATTAGGAGTCAGAAGGAGACAGAGAAAAGAAAGGAAGTGAAGCTGGGGAGAGGCAGGAGGCTGGGAAATGGAAGTCGTGACAAGAGTGAATCTGACTCACACTGAGAAAGACATTTATATCACAGATCAGTAAACACACACACACACACACACACACACACACCCTGTTCTCTCATACATAAATCAAGCAGAAGTTTGATTCCATACTTCTTACCCTTACCATGTCTGGTAATTCCTGTTCGATTTCTTCACAGTGATTCGTTTTGTCTTGTTCATTATTTTATCTCTTGTTTTTAAAGCTGCTGAGGATCAACCCAAGTTGATTTCCTGAGACAGGGCCTGTGGTTTGAGTAGCAGGCTCTGGGGTGGGGCATGAAGTGTTTTAGAGCAGAGGAGCAGAAGTTAAAAGGGTTTGGGTGAATTCACTTCAGCTTTCTTTCCTTAGCTGGGCCTAGGTTCTGTCCCCTGATCCTATGACCCATGACTCTCATTTGCCCTCGCGAGATCTTATTAGAGAGCTCTGTAGTACAAAGGATGGTGGCAGAGGACCAAGTCACACGGGCCTTGGTCAAGCCAAAAGCATCTGAATTCTAGATATACATAGATGTCAACGTTTCTGGGTGTTGGCTTCCAGAAGAGGAGCACCAATAAATTCTAGCTTTCTCAAAGGAAGGTAGTGTACGGTAGCCTTCTTTGGGGGCAGATGGTTTTTCAGGCCTGCACTGCATTCTACTGATCTTTCGTCTTTCTACCCTGAAAAGCACATTCTTTGAAAAATGAGCCAAAGACTTATATGGAATTCCCTTTTGATTCCCTCTCATCTAGTGGGAAACTTCATGACCTATGTTAGAAAAGATGCACATATATATTCGTGTATCTTGGTTACAACACCAAGCATATATAAAGTTAGTTGAGCCGCAGAAGAATCCTTTAGGTAGAAATGTAAGGCCTTGAGAATTTGCTTTTTGATATATGAACTCAAATGTTCCCATCTTCCGAGCTCATATTTCCAATGATTGTTGAAACCACAAGTCCAAAGTTAGCCTTATATCACAATCTAGTCTTCAAAAAATTCATTGTTGTGCAACATACCTGTAATCATAGCCAGGCATGGTGGCACACACCTATAATTCCAGCACTCTGGAAAATCAAAGCAGGAGAATCACGAGGTTGAGTCCAACCTGGACAATTTAGTGACTTATGGAGACCTTCTCTCAAAAATAAAAAAATAAAAAAAGACCTGCGCATGTAGCTCGGTGCAAAAGCAAGTAAAATTCCCAAAACTGCTGAAAAAAAGTGTAGCTTGTATTTTTAAAAAATCTATTTTATTTTGGCTGGGGATTTACGTCAGCAGCATAAGTGCCTGCCTGGCAAGTAGGAGGTCATGAGTTCGATCCCTGGTACCAAAAAAATTTTATTTTGTGATTTGGGTATTGGCCTTTTTAACTATTTATAATATATATACAGTATATATTGTATATATATATATATATATATATAATATGTATATAAAGTGTATACTTATAATATGTATGTAGCATATATACATATTTCCCATCCCTGTGGTATTTTCTTGGTCTCCTTGAGGACATTCGAGGTTACTGTCCAGAGCAATTGTTTTCTTCTGTGACCACTCGTGTCATTCACCTCTGTAATCATAGGAAACTGAGCAATTGAAAACCTTCCGTATTCTTTACCTTTCATGCCCATTTGTCTTCATTCAGCTGTGGATCCTGCCAGTTTTCCATATGAGTCCTTAAATCCTGGAGTAACTATGTAATTAATATGAAAAACTTCAGTTCCTTCTGCCCTTCCACAAACCCACTTGGTTAATAAAACATTCCTCCCCACAATGCTGATGGCCAGCTAACCACTTCAACCATCGCAGTACAATGCCTCTGCTAGACCTATTGATTACAGTGTGTAGTGGGCCCCCGAAAAAAGCATACATCCCTACCAACTCTGTGGAACTTGTGAATGTTAATTTATTTGGGAAGGGGCTTCTGCAGATGCAGTTAAGTTAAGGAGATCAACCTGGATTCCCAAGGTGGGGCCCAAATCCAATGTGCAAGAGACACGTGCAAGAGGCAGAAAGAAGACACAGCCCACCACACGAAGACGCAAGTAGACACCGGGGCTGTGCCATCATGGGTCAAGAAACACCTGCAACCACCTAAAAGTGGAAAATGCAAGTAAGGATTCTTTCTTAAAGCCTTTAGAGGGACTGTGGCCCTGCCAACCTCTTGATGCCACATTTCTCCAGCTTCCAGAACCATGAGAGCATTTATTTCTGCTATTTTAAGCTTCTAAGACTGTGGTCATTTGTTACAGAAGCTTCAGAGACCTAATATATGATCAGAGACCAGCTTTAAAAGCACAAACTGTAGTATAAGACCCTATGAACCTCAGGGATCCCATGTAAGGTAACACGGCTTGAACCATTTCAAATTTATTAACGATGTTCATCTAAAAATCGGTGGTAAATGAATGTGCAAAACGTTTATAATGTAGAGATGTGCAAGGCCATTGTACTGACATGTCAGCGAAGAAATCCCAATAAAAGTAAGGTTTATTAGCTTCTGGAACTAGTTTAGTGCAACACCGATGACCGTAATCTGCTTTTTTTGATGACAAGTATGGACTGTTTCTTCCTCGCCCTAACCTCCCGGGTGGCTGAATTGGTGAGCAGGAAGTCTTCAAACTGCCTCATGAGGACAACGTAATTTTCCCTCTGATAACTTCCAGTTGCCTAAGGGTCATTATCAAGCTCCTTAACCAGATTCATGGCCCTTCCCAATCTGCTTCCAGTTCATCTCTCAGTCCAGGATCTTACTATCAAAAATAGAAACTGGGCGAATCACTGGTGGATGAATAAACAGAGATAGGACTTATGCTGCATACAGCTGCTTATGTACTGAGGTCTGCCTAGCATGGCCAAGGTCATGCCCTGGACTCATTCCTTCCTAGCAAGTAGGAAAGAGCCTGGCTCACAGTAGGAGCTCAGCAAATGGGCTGTTGCATAAAAAATTATTCTTTCCACTCCCTAAGCAACATTATTTTACATAGGAACAACCACATGCTGTCTGATCTATGTATGTATGTATATATATATATATATATATATATATATATATATATATATATATCAGATTAATATATATAGATTTATATATATATATTAATCTTGTGAAACATTTTGGTTTCTAAATTGAGAAAACACTATCACAAAGTCTCTGTGTAGTCGAAGGTATCAGCCACTTACAGAGCTCAATGTGGTAATGAGGAAAAGCATAATTTCCTGTGGTTTGACAGTAACATGACAGGAATAGTTCTCACTGCCTTGAATAGACCATGAACATAACTTGTCCCTCTTTATTGACACTTCAAGCTGTTCAATGATACAAAGGAATGTGAGCCAGACCTCCGCCAGCCAGGTGCCCTACCCAAGGATAGCATCCTGTGGTCATGATTTCACTAAGTTATCTGAAGCATTTCAAAAGCCGATGGGTCATTTTTGCACCTAACCATCTTACAGATGAATTGGAGAGAGGGTGGACAGGAGAAGGGCAAGGATTCAGCAATAAGAAATATTCCTCTGGAAGTTCAATGTCTTAATCACAAAATTCCCATAAATGGTATAATTTAAAAGGCTATCCATTAGATCATCCCTAGATCTTGGGCATGCCTCAGAGAGGATTGTCAAAAGGTAACAGGCAAAAGTTATCATACCTAGTCTTTGTGTGCTGATAAAATATTTGATTTCAACATGAAGAATCAATTGGTTTTCATCCAAGTTCACTCACCATTGAGCTTATAGAAAGCTTTAATATAATCGATATAGACATACATGGGGAAATGTCCAAACTAAAGTAAAGCAAAGATCTTAAAACTCATTTAGAAATGCAAAGCCTGTAGGCTCATTGGTGGATCCTAAAAATAGAAAAGAATAGTTTCTTAGCATTTCTCATGCATAGTTAGATGGAAAAGGCATCTTCTAAGCAACGGGAGACAGACACTTGCATGTCCTTTTATTTATGACCCTGTCTTGGTGGCAAACAAAATGGCATATACTAGGCAGTCAATAAACATTGGTAAACTGGCTTAATGACATGAGAATATGTAGTTGCTGTCAATAACAATTCAAATAGTCATGATCCCGGACAGTGGCAAGTTAGTGTTCAAAATTCTAAATATATTTTAAATATTTTCAAAAACTTGTGCTACCTGTAAATGATATTCACATGTTCAAAGTTACATTCAACAAGTATGTTAAATGGACACTGCATCAATTAAGGGGGCAAGCGTCCATAAAAGTCCTCATATATATATTTCATTACTATGCAGGGCACTTTGGGAAGTGAAAAAGCACACATGTGTCCCCATTGAATGTAACCTGCACAGCTCTGCCCACAAGTCTCAGAAGAGATGGCACTAGCAAAAGAGTATGACTAGAGAGACATTGGACTGTATGAGCATCCAAGGAAAATACATGTGTGTGAGCATATATGTGTGTGTGTGTGTGTGTCTTAGAAACATATTTTCTTTTCAGCTTCTTTCTACATGTATGCCTTAAATTTGTAACTAATCCTTTCTTGTTACATGAAAATAAAATAGAGTTGAATCCCAAATTGTTGTGTTTAATTGTCTTACACTGCAGTTAAGCTCTTGAGAATGGAAAGAAGGAGAAAAGGAAGGACATGGGGGAGGAGAAGAGAAGGGAAAAGAAAGGAAAGGAAACTAGTAATATTATGGTGGGGTGAGGAGAATATTTGTCTTATACTTCTGTTAAACTGCTGAAGGACTCGAGGGCCAATGAAGTGTTAAGTGTTTAAAAATTATTAAGCAGTGTTTAAATTTACATTCTTGAGCTAAGGAAAGGCTCAAAATTTTTCAGTTTTATTTTGATATTTTGGCTGATTATAGGTATATTAATGGTTTCCAAAATGCAAAGTTCTTTTCATTAAGTATGAAATTGGTCCCATATGTTTAGAAATGATAAAAGAAAATTTTAATTTTGTATCATCCGGAATTAGATGCTTCTTTGGGGAAATAAATAAGTCCTCAAATTTTAAGACTGGCAATAGGAACCAGGGAACATAGCTCAGTGGTGAAGGGCTTGTCTAGCATGCATGAGGTCCTGGGTTCTGTCCTCAGCACATCAAAATCAATCAATCAATAATGTGATCGTACCTAACTCTGATTTTAAAAAGTGTAAGAGGCCTGGGAAAGCTAAGCAGCAGTTCATTATTTGTAAGGCTTTGTGTGCTTGCAAGTGACACTGCCCACCTCACCACACACAGTCCCAGCACACACAGCCTAAAGCTGTGCTGTTCTCCTGAAAGAATAACATGCCTTCAAAATTCCACGCACAGGATGAATGAAATACGATGCTGTAATGGTTGAGAAATTTCTTGTTCTTTTTTTTTTTTTTTTTTTTTTTTTTGTCTTTTTCCTTTTTACCGGTACCAGGGATCGAACCCACGACTGCCTGCTTGCAAGGCAGGCGCTTATGCCGCTGAGCTAAATCCCCAGCCCCAGTTGAGAAATTTCTGAGATTTAAAAACAAGGACAGGTCTTTCAGTGAGCCTCTTGCT